AGGGGCCAAAACCATTGGGGGTAGGTAGAGAAACGGTTGAAAGGTGACATGGATGTTAGAAAACTGCAGGAGAAGAGAAAGAAGATGATCGAGATTAAGAAATTTCCAACGAAGGCCAAGGTTCCGTTAGATCCAAGGCAAGAGAAGGAAGAAAGAAAGGCCGGAAATAGACGACAACACAGAAAAAGAAGAGAAAAAAAAGGAAGAAAAAGGGAGGACTGCCACAAAAAAAAAAAAAAAAAAAAAAAAAAAAAAAAAAAATTCCATAGGAGGTATACCAAAAAAAATTCCAAGTATAACATGTTCTTTTGCACTTCTAAAAATTTAGGAAGTTTTACGAAAAGATCACGGTACTGTTCATTTTAACGAAAAATCACATTTTTACACTAAAAAGTTAATCCTGGTATTATAACATTTTACTCTTTATTTTATCCTTATCATTAAAACTTAAAGTTTTTAAACCATTTTTATTAGTTTTTCTAAAAATTTATGTGTTGGTGTTTTGTTGGCAAACCAGCCCACGAGCACATATAGGAAGGTTTCATATAAATTACCGAACATATATTTTGAATTTGTTTTTGGAAGACATTGCTCCGTAAAGACCCTAACAAAGATCAAGAAGAACGTTCGACAGACATTGGCTGAAGATTTTGCTCAACCAGTCATGGGTTTCTAATTCGAAACTAGAAAATTTCAATATTTCAGCCCCAAATGTTATATAACCATTCAGATATTTAATTTTAGTCACAATATAATCCAATCTCAAAACCTAAGAGTATGGATTTACATAATAAGTTATTTCTTGATGTGCTTAGATGCTGGTGATGATTGATGAAGGTTTCGTCATTGTTGGGTAATGGATGCTAAGTTTGATTTCGAATTTATTGTGAGATGAAGGATAATAGAAGGTTAAAGTTGATTTTATTATACAAGGGGTAATTTGGAAAACACGACTTGGTGAGGAGTAAATAGATACAACTAATGGCAAAGCCATGAATTTTCACAAGGGTGGGCCAACATTTTTCTCTTTTTCAACTATAGAGACTTGCTTCATCTATCTACAAGAAAAATGAGCAACAATTATCTTAATTAGTAACTATTTTAGTAGTTGTTGCTCAGATAACAGTGATACTGTCAATGAAAAAATGGTAACAAAAGTCAGATACATATGGTAATACATTAGTCATCATTGTTGTATAGCTCTTACCTACTTTTTGGCTTTTTGTCAACTTTTTTCCTTTGGCAACAACATTGTCCCCTCAATAGTAGATACGAAAATAGTTACTAATTAGGCTAATTGTTGCTCACTTTTCTTGTAGTGTAAGGAGTTGTAAAGGTAGAGTAGACAACTTTTAGTTCGGTAGGGTGGGATAATTTTCACTTAGCGATGAAGCCCACCTAGCCCAAGGGTGACTCTGCTCTTGGTTAAAATTCTTCAATTTTGTTAAGTGAGGAGATAAAAGTTGGTTGTGAATAGAAGCTGAGTTTAGAAATGAAGGCTCCATTACATGCATTAAAGAAAGCAATCGAGTAAGTACAAAAAAAAAGGGGGCATCCTAGGTTAATCAGGTATGGAATCCAGTGTAATTAGGATGGGGGATACACATTTTTTGACACGCTTTCTTGTGGTTCTCATTTTGTGACTTTTTTTGATGATCTGAACGTTTATATTTCAATTCATCATTCATGGATTTTTTCTACAAAAAAGTTAAACAAATCCAAAACGACTACAACATTCATTTGTAGTAAAGAAAATAGATGGATACGGTTGTACAAAAAAAAAATACTAAAATGAGTACCATTGAACCTAACAATCATATAATTTCGGATTTGAGTTATTTTTTATAGAGATGATCTTTGAGAAAATACCTAAAAAAATAGATGTTGAAGTTGAATTGTAAATATACATTATGGAGTGAGCCCTAACAATGTCTGTCCAAAAAATTCTATATATAAAGGAGATTAGCACTAATAGAAGATGCTTTGCTCTAATACCCAGGTAATCAACCTCGATAAAAAGCAAATGGTACAAGTAGAAGTCAAGGAAACCTGATTCATACGTCTAAATGTACACATAAACATGAAATATGGTATAGTGGATCACACATACGGCTTAAGAATATGCCTTTCTTAGCTTGGCAATCAAATAATACGAAGCGTTGGAGTGGTCTCTATAAATTGCATACATATACATTGAGAGAGCTGATATTAATGCGTTTACTAGCCAATGATTCAATTTGTTTTAGCATACTAGAAGGACAACATAAGGCAACAAAGAATTGCAGACCATCATTCTTAATATGCTGTGTGCTTCTGATTGCTTTATTGGCCGGAGGTGAAAGTGTCGCGCCAAGAATAAAATGAAGAAAGTTGGGGTTCCACCATAAAATCAATTGGTAATATGAGAAGTAGTCCAAAATCATTTAAATACATAGCAAACCTTGTCCCTCACTGATGTGGGACAACTTTCAACACGCTCCCGCACGTGTGGCAGATTTTCAAGCCTGCACGTGAACAACAACTGGGTGACATAGAGCGCATGTAGCCGTTAGGCTTCACACGTGGACAACCTTGCTTTGATATCATGATTAAAGTTGGGGTTCCACCATAAAACCCATTAGCAATATGAGGAGTAACCTAAGACCATATAAGTACATAGCAAACTTGTCCCTGGGACAACTCTCAACACACGTCCGCACGTGTGGCTGATTTTCATTTGATACCATGATGAAATTGAGGTTCCACCATAAAACTAATTGGCAATATGAGGTGTAGCCCAAGATCATACAAGCACATAGCAAACTTTGTCCCTCACTAATGTAGGACAACTCTCAACATAAACAAGGTGATGAAGATGCAGCATGCATGCATATACACACACACACGCACTAGCTGAGAATTGACAATTAATGTAAAATGGTTTGATATTATTTTTTGTGATTGGCATTGTATTCTAATTATTGTTTTGCACTTGTTGGACCTAGGCTATTTCTTAACCCATCAAATGCAATTGTTTTTCTAGTATATTAACATTGAAAACTTGCTAGTTAATCAGTTAGCATTCTAATTACTATTTTGCATACAATAAAGTACATCAGAAATTGGGAAAATGATCTATGTTCGATTCTTAATAACTGATATGATCAATTTTTTGGCACGTCGTCAATATTTAATTGTTACATCGTCGATATTTAATTTTGATTAGTTTAATAATTTATTTGATTCGCGATTATTATTTTAGCCAATTTCTCAAAAATATTTGCACCACATTTAATTGATAACACCTAGCTAGATGAAATAAATATCTCACTTTTGACATTATATAGTAAAACTGTACGTACGCAGTTATAATTACTATTGAAACAACATGCATAAAAGGTGCCGGAACCTCAAACCACATAAGCCTGAGATTTGGTGACACAAACTCTAACGACATTGTGGTTCACCACCTAAACCCCAAGCACATAAGAAGGGTGGATCTAATAGAGCCTGACCACCTTGACGATGTTCCCAGAAAACCATTTCAAGCCTGCGTGGTGGATGAGTTCCAAGTAAAGGGTCGATGCGTCGATTCGCCCGTCTGCTACCTCTATCTAAAACTGTCCGGAACTGATGATTGGAGACCTGGTTTTGCACAAATCCATGTTTTGGAGGGGTCTCACTCCCATCTCAGCTCGAATTACTTCTACTTCCGCAGGTACTTGCCACGCCTTGTTTGGCATGGTTTGGACGTGTGTGATCATAAAGAGGTCACTCCATTTGGGATCAAGCACAAGAGGAAAGTGTTTGCAAAAAAGCCAGTGATGACAAAATTGGGACGAATGCCATGATATAATTAATCATTAGTTACATGTATATCAAACTTTTTGTCCCAACTTTTTTGTTCTTATACTATATCAACAAAGTTGAAGAATTAACCCATATTGTGAGATAAAAGAAGTTGGGTATAAATATAGCATTGACATTAGGGTCAATTGCCACTAATATAAACAATTTTATTTGCAACGACAACAAAATAACTGTGCAACAAGAAAGAAATTCCTTGCTCCCATTCATCCCTAAACATTTTTATTGAGAAATTACATAATTTCTCTCCAGGTCCTAGTAGCAAAGACGGATCTACAGAGGGACCTGGAAGGTCCCAGGACCCCTCGGCCATCCTAAAATGCTGCTAGAAATTTTCCGGAAGACCCCTCGTACTCGAACACGAGGCCTGTGCAGACTGTCAGTGTTGCTACAGCCTTGCAGCAGTAGGTTGCAGGTTGCAACGGAGAAGAAGACAACAGGGGAGAAGAAAGAAAATAGGGCATTTAAAAAAATTGGTCCAAAACGCAGTGTTTTGGCCCTTTTTTTTCCCTTTTTTTTTTTTTTTTTTTTGTTAAACCAATGAGACAAACGTTTGCAATTGGTCCACCATTTGCAACATGATTACATAATCTTTTTGAAAGTCTAGCCCCACATGAATGTCCCGAGAGTCCCTTTCACTTCTCCAGTTCTCCTTTCCCTGTTCCACTGCTTTTCCCCCTAATCCCCCCATCTTTCTTATATTCACCCAAAACCCTAAATTTCTAATCCCACCCAATCCCATATTATAATTACATTACTCCAATATTATACCTCCACTTGTTTCAATTCTCCAAGCCACCACTATTTGGTTCCAAATTCAAGTAAGTTTTTTGGTATTCTAATCTAATCTCAATTAAATTATATTAGATATTGGTGGAGATTTTTAGTCTATTATTGATATGATTGTTGATATGTTTTATGTTTGTATACTCATTTTATAATTGAAATTTAGATGGAATTTTTGTTTATTGGTTGATTGGTATATGTTTTGTGTTTTTGGTTAAATGTGTAGTTTAGAAATAAGAAATATGGAAAGATTTTTCAAGCCAAAGCCAATAGCACCATCTACTTGTTCGGGTAGTTCGAGCTCAAGACAAAATGAGTGTGACATTGATTTTAATAATCTTGAGAGAGACCCGGGAAAGAGAATTCGAATGAAGGACTATCCTTCTAATATTCAAGATGAGGTCCGCAGAGCATATTTGCAAATGGGACCTTGTAGGCCTACAAAGTATGAGTTCCCATACACTCTGCATGCAAAGAAAAAGCGACGATTTGTTGTTTCGTGGTTTGAAGAATATGATTGGTTGGAGTATAGTATATCTAAAGATGCGGCATTTTGTCTTCATTGCTATCTCTTTAAAATCAACTTTTCACAATTAGGAAGCGATGCCTTCACTGGGGTAGGCTTTAAGAAATGGAAGAATGCCAGAGAATGTTTTGACAAACATGTTGGTCCTATTGGTAGTTTCCACAATAAAGCTAGAGAAGTGGCTAGTTATCTAATGAACCAAAAGACACATATTGAAGCAGTTGTGATCAAACAATCAGAAGAAGAGTGTATGAAATATCGTCTTTGCTTGAATGCATCAATAGATTGTACTAAGTTCTTGTTGCGACAAGGCCTTCCTTTTCGTGGCCACGATGGAAGTGACACTTCGAATAATAGGGGGAATTATTTAGAGCTCTTGCAATTCCTTGCGGATCATGATGAGAAAATAAAGGAAGTTGTGTTGGAAAATGCTCCGGGAAATCTCAAGCTAATAGCTCCTTCAATTCAAAAAGATATTGTCAATTCATGTGCCTTCAAAACTATTAAGGCTATTATGAAAGAAGTGAAAGAGAGTAAATTCTTTTCTATAATGGTAGATGAATCACGTGATATTTCAACAAAGGAGCAAATGGCGGTGATTTTGCGTTATGTGGACAACAAAGGTCAAGTAATTGAAAGGTTTGTGGGAGTCCAACATGTTACCGAAACAACTTCAAGTAAACTAAAGGAGTCCATTGATGAGTTCTTGAAACTACATGACTTGAGCTACTCCAACCTACGAGGTCAAGGTTATGATGGTGCGAGTAATATGAGAGGTGAGTTCAATGGCCTTAAAAAAAAAATTTGGATGAAGAAAGTTGTGCATTCTATGTTCATTGTTTTGCTCATCAACTACAATTAGCTCTTGTTGCCGTAGCAAAGAAAAACTCCGATGTTGCCGCTTTTTTCACATTGACTAATAGTTTGGTAAATGTTGTTGGATGCTCATGTAAGCGTCGTGATGCACTTAGAGAGAAACAACAAGAAAATCTCTTGAAAGCTATTGAAAATGATTGTCTTGAAACGGGGCAAGGGTTAAATCAAGAAACTAGTCTCAAACGTGCTGGGGATACATGGTGGAATTCACATTATGGTGCTTTGATTAGTTTGATTACAATGTTCTCATCTGTGGTGGATGTGCTTGACATGATTGTTGAAGATTGCTACAATGATAGTGCTGGTGAAGCAAAAAAGTTATTAAAAGATTTACAATCTTTTGAGTTTGTGTTCCTCCTCTTTTTTATGAAATTCATATTAGGAGTTACAAACGATTTGTCACAAGCATTGCAAAAAAAAGATCAAGAGATTGTGAATGCAATGGCTTTAGTCAAGACATGTAAAGAACAACTACGTTGCATGAGGAATGATGAAAATTTTGATCTTTTGGTTGATAAAGTATCATCTTTTTGTGTTGAACATGAAATTGAGGTGCCTAATATGGATGATTTATATGTCATTCAAGGGAACTCATTGCGTAAGGCTCCAAGAAAGACCAATCATCATCATTACAAAGTGGAGCTCTTTTTCGAGGTCATTGATTTCCAACTTACAGAATTAGATGATCGCTTCGCTGAAGGTAATACCGAATTGCTTATTTGCTTGGCATGCTTGAGTCCAAATGATTCATTTGTAGCTTTTGATAAAGAGAAGCTTGTTCGCCTTGCTCATATGTATCCTAAAGATTTCACGGATCGAGATAGATCGACACTTCAAGATCAACTTGATATTTACATTCATTTTGTGCGTTCTGATAATGATTTTTCTCAATTGCGGGGAATTAATGAGCTTGCTAAGAAAATGGTGGAGAAAGGGTTGCATCGAACATTTGCATATGTATATTTGCTTATTCAGTTGGCTTTGGTTTTACCGGTTGCAACTGCTTTAGTGGAGAGGGCATTTTCCGCTATGAATATCATTAAGGGTCCACTTCGCAACAAAATGGGAGATCAATGGTTGAGTGACAGCTTAGTTGTTTACATTGAGAAAGATGTTTTTTCATGTATTGGTAATGAAGTTATCATGGAACATTTTCAGACCATGAAACCTCGTCGTGGACGCTTGAATTAGGATTTTATAGCTTGTAATATTGTTATGCAAATGATTTTTGAATAAAATGTATTATATTTAACTTTTCAATGTTATTTTTGTCTATAAATTTTTTAACCTTTATTATTGGGACCCCCCGAGTTTAAAATCCTGGATCCGCCACTGCCTAGTAGTAAGCCTATTAGAAAAAGTCTAATGCGAGGAATAACTTCCTCGTTGGTGGAAACTTTTTGCGTCAAATATTTCCTCGCTTAAACTTCACCATTTTCTCACCAAAAGTTGATTCTTCATTGTAGGATGTTACAAAAAAGCCTAAAAATCTTAACAATTTGATGAAGAAACTGTAATTCCTCGCAAAACATGAGTTTCAACGAGAAAATGTTCCTCGCTATACCCTCTATATTTCCTCGCAGGGAGCAAAATTAACTCTTTGAAATGAGTTTTTCTTTTCGTTTTGTTTAATGAAACCAAAAAACTTCGTCATTTAACTTAGTATCAAACATAGATTGCAAATTTTTGAATGTTTTACAATGATAGAACTAATCATTGTTTACCAACACTTGTAATATTAGAACATGAGGCCTTTTAACAGAGTGTAGCTCAATTACCAGGCCTTGCTTGTCTTAGGCTTGGGTTGGGCCTAACCAAGAACACAGTTTCAACCGACAGCCAACTTTACATTTTAATCTTCATTGTCTGATCCCATTTTAAAGCATAGTAAACTACTTCATTGCATTAGAGTATACGTAATTGGATAACGATTTACAATATTATTAAGAGTAGATAGCTTGCTAATCTCTCTATTAAAATACCAATCATGTCTTTGCTTTTACTTTATTATCCCCTTAAAATAAACAATAGTTTTCAAAATAAGGATAAAATAGTTTTATACTGATTTTAAAGAGTAACGAAATGGCTTACATGATACTAATCTAACATTCATGTAAGTAAAAGAAACCCCACTCATGGTCACATCAAAAAATAATGATTAACTTGATAGTTAATTAAACAGACTAAGAATTGTTTTAGTAGTTTTAAAAGATAGAAACAGAACTATTACTGATCTCAAACCACATGGCTCGAAAATGTAATAAGCTCTGGATTTTATTTTATTTTTTAAAGTACAAATGTTATTGGAAAAATTAAAAATGATGCTTCAAAGTATCTTATATTATGAAATTTTTTAACCATTAAATATTGGTCTATATTTTTCATCAAAATTTTAGCGGTTAAAATTTTTAAAATATAGAATATCCTGGAATATACTAGAAATTTCCCTTCAATTTTACACAAGTAGAACAAAAGTAACATTCACACATTATTTGGCTTTTAAGTTTTAGCAACTAGTTCTAAGTCAAGTAGTATATGCTGTGATTTATTTTGAAGCATCTCTAATATTTAGTCCTCGATAATCAATGCTGGACCAAGATTTACACGCATGCATGCTAATCTAGATAAAAGTACTCATGGGACTTCTTTTTGCCCGATCAAGCTGTGAAAAATCCCATAGTACGTGTGAATCATATTCATTTATGTACTAGAAATTTGTGTTTAAGTCCGATAAAGTTCATGAGTTTAATCCCAGTACACCACATGCAAGTGAATCGAATTACTTTTGCTTTTAGTTTCTTTTTTTGAAAGCCACAAAGTAGAAATGAATAGAACTACTCAGAATTGCAATTTATATCAGAACTCAGAAAGTCCAGAGCTGTGTGCAACTTTTGATCAAGACAAAGAAGCGATACAGTGATCTTGAATACCAATACAACGTACTTATTTTGTCTATGTACTAAAAGGTAAAAAGGATGGATCAATTCTTATGTATCTCATTATATTCTTCTTTTGGTGGTAAAGAAATACAGGAAAACCTCTTTTAAAGTAACACATTATTATAAATAATGAAATAACCTCCTTAAAGTCATAAAAGTTTCGGTCTCAACTGGGGAACAGTTATGTATTGGAATAAACTCCATATTGTAATAAGTTATAATTTTTCTTAGCCCCATCTTAAGGAAACACGTCTTGACATAGTTATAATTGTCACTGAGTACAAAAAACGCAAAAAGTAAAATACTTGGCGCTCTAATTCCTATTTAGATTTTTATTTTTTATTATTATTTTTTTTTAATGAAACCTCGACGGTATGAGGGGAATTTTATTGATGACGAAAAAGAAGTTACACCTAGTCAAGGAGGACAAAAACCTAACCCCTCATAATACAAGAAAAAAAATGGATAAAAAAGTACATGAAAAAGAAGGGGGGACACAAACATTATCCTTCTAGAAACGTAAACAATAAAGATACAAGGAAAAGAAGGGGGTGACATGAAACCTAACCCCTCTAAAACCAAACGTAAAAGTCTAAACCTGCAAAACAGATTAAGCGACATCACAAGGTTAAGAAAGAAAAAAAGTGAGTTAAACCTGTATACCGATATGTAGATTAATTTGAGAAGCGGTAATCAGGAAAGCCAGCATAGTCTGAAAACAAAGCAGCACGAGCCGCGCAATGGAGAGGAATCATGCCATACTAAAGTTGGAGAAGACAAGCCCATGTTAGCAAAATTGTCCGCAACAACATTTCCTTCACAATATATGTGAGAGGTGTACAAAGTCATCTTCCGAATGCGATCCAAACAAATAGAACATTGCATACGAAGAGGCCAAGGAGGATCAAAATCAATTGATTGGAGAGCAAAAAGAACACTGGAAGAGTCACTTTTCAACCAAAGGCAATGCTAACCCCGTTGATATGCAAACTCTACACTAATAATAATTGTTGATAATTCTGCAAAGAAAGAGTTGCGATGGCCAATCCCTTTGTAGAAGCCACTAAGAAATTGACTATGACAATCCCTGAAAACTCCTCCACAAGCTATAGGACCGGGATTTCCTTTGGACAAACCATCTGTATTAAGTTTAATCCAAGGAAACCAAGGAGAAGACCAAAGCAAAGGAAGAATAGTTGGCTCCTTGCGAAGGGGATAGGCTAGATCCCCAAAGAAGAAATGATATGAGTGTCAAAACCTTGATAATAACCAGGAATAAACTTCCCACCATGAATGATCCCATAATTGATAGGCATGCAAAGACGACAGAAAAAGATTGGGCGACCCTTAAAAATAAACTTATTTCGAGCTTTCCAAATAGCCAAAATAGTAGAAAGATCCTCAAATATCCAGAGATTGTGTTGTGCAACTGTTGGGAAAAGGGCTTATGTACGTAGGCATCCCAAAAAGCAACTAAAGAATCTGAAAAAGACAAAGAGGTAGCAAATTGACATGCTAGCCACCTCCAAAGCTGCCTAGATATCTGACAACCGAAGAAAATGTGAACAGTAGATTCCTCATAATTATGACATAAACAACAAATGGACGCCAAAGAAATACCTTGTCACTGAAGTGCACCTTCAGTAGGAAATTTGTCATGAAAAAGTCGCCAAGCCTAAATAGAAAGTCAAGGTGGGATAAAATATCGCCAAATAACCTGAACCCAAGCACAATCACTATGTTTTTGTCGTATAAGAAGATAGCCAAAAGAAAAGGAAAATTCCCCAGTAGATGTAAGCTTCTAGATCAAATTGTCATCCTTTACATTTAAAAGCAAAGGTAAACGTAGAATCTGCTGCACTACAGAAGGATTCCTATTTAGAAAATACAACATTCATTAAAGTTAAAGAAGTCAATAAGTCAATAAACTAGTCGGAGGTGGTCGGAATTTGACCTTGAAGTCTTGGCGAAAATTGAATTTCTTGAAACATGCAGTGGTAGATTCGAGCATGGTGAATCGTTTGGTAGTGTCAAACTCGTCCAGCTCAACAAGGTTTGGTCAGAAAACATGTGGGGAAAACCTCCAACTTCGCCTAAAAACTAAGCTGTTAGTGGTTCCGTTTGAACTTTACATATGTGAATCCAAAATATACATGCAAGGTCTAAATCAAACCCATAACAACATTTCATGTAGGTTGAGGGTAATATCAAGCCTTACCTCGGTCGGGTACAGCGAGAATCTTGCTGGAGGTTTCTGATTCAAAACCAAGCTTCTCGTTTCTCGGGTTGAGTTCGAGTTTGGGTACTTATTTGGGGGTCCTGGACTCAGGGCGAGGAGAGGGAGAGTGGTGGTGATTTGCGGGCTCAATCCCCACCAATCCCTCCTCCCTCACAAATAAAAATTTGATCCCACCACTAACAATATCGTTTGTAAAAAAATAAATATAAAGTTTAGACTGTTCAGTCAATAATATGCATTATAATATTTTATATACCAAACGGTTAACAATTGCTCATGATAATTAGTAATGTAAGTCGCTCGTATGATTTTTATGGATAATCACTAGTGAGTACTCACCTTTTGATTTTGTTCAATGATAAATTAATACATGTATTGTTTTAAAAAATAATGGACATGGCATTAATTTTTCTTGAGTTTAAAAAATAACACGTAAATTTTTTGATTTGGCCAAATCAGAAAACGAGTACCTAAAAAATCACTAGTGAATATCTAAGTATTATTCGATTTTTATTAATTTTTCATTTTTTCAAAAGATGATGGGCTTATTAACCCAAACAAAGTACGTGGACTGCTTATCAAATATTTTTTTGTACATTGCTCTACAAATTGCATATTTTCTAGTCAATACAATCCGTAAAACCGACTTCATGGGTCAAGGAAAAGAGTCAAGTATTCCCAAATCACGATAAATGTTGCATATTTTAGTCACATAATAACCCTCAACAAAAATAGATAAATATATATATATATATATATATATATATATATATATATAACACGCGCTAGCAATTCATTGTATAAAAAACCAAATAATTAAGAGAGTTGCTAAACCCACCTCATTGTCTTATTTTTTTCATCCACAATATAATCCCACACATCTTAAAAAGTTAAAAAAATTGAAATGTTATTTCCCCATCCATTATTATTCCAAAAATAATCTTTGATTATTATATATGTGTAAAATTATAAAATTGTCTACCTGAAAAGAAATAAATCTGTGCGAATAAGAACCACAGACGTATGTAAA